TAAAATGAATGAATTTTTATGTTTGTTGGACAAAATCGTTTTATTAATCGAAGTATTTCTTGGAATTCAATTTAATTGTTTGTTATTAATTGTTTGTTGAAATACAGTTTCATATACACTCATTCAATATAACAATATAATTCATTTCACATTTTTATTAAGTAACATTTTTTAAACAATCATATTTAATACGTAAGACAATAACAACAAACGTAAAAAGTAGAGGCATACATTTGACTGTTATTTAAAATGGCACATTGTACAATTTTGGAATAAAATTGTACAAATATTTTCAGAGAACATTTTAATTCAACAATCATATTAATTCATGCTGTTAAAATCGGCAAGAATTATTTAAAGTGATTGTTGAATTAAAATGTTACATTAATTAAAATGATTGTTGATAATTTTAATTCGTATCTCTGATTGTGCGGAAGTTTCAGGAACTACAGTTTAGTCTATTTGACTACGTGTATACTAGCGCCTAATTAAAATTATCAACAAACATTTTAATTCATGTATCATCTTTATTAATCAACATTTTTTTAATCAATCTCTTAATACGTAAGATAAAAACAACAAACGAAAAATTTAGAGACATAAGATTGACTGTTATTTAAAATGATACATGATAAAATGTTGGTATAAATACTAAAACGGCGTTCCATAGAGTTAGGTCTAATTTTAATGTTTTTTTAGCAATTACTTATGTAAAGATAATTTTATGTAACACTTGATAATGGAACGAGGTGCGTTCCAAAACATGTCGTGTCTTTTCATCAGTACTACCTGTCAACTTTAACTGTCATTAAATTTTGGATGCGTGGGGAGATTTCGTGTATTTACCATTCCTGATGAGAGAGGTGCTCGTGTACGCAACGGAGACATGGGGTATACATATGTATATTAGAGGAAGAAACAAAAAAGGAAAAGATAGCGTTGGGGCGCAGAGCAGTAAGATTCGAGGAAAGGGGTGATGGAGAAGGGGAATTCGTGAAGGAACGACGAACAAAGGGAACGTGAAAAGAACAGAAAGAGGAAATATTACGCAAGAAATGGATACAAACATGCTGAGGCTTAAATGAAGAGAGGAGTACCAGGAAAGATTGAAAATGAGCTGGCAAAAAGGGATCCAGATAGAGAGCTGACGCGGTAGTAGTTATAAAAAGCTAATGAAGGCGTGTATACCAAAATATTTGTGGGAAGGAAGGAAAAATATTAAAGCAATAGCTAGACTCAGATGCGGAAATGAACAGAGAGGTAAAGAGAAGTGGATACAAGGAGAACAAAGAAAATGTAGAATATGCGGAGAGGAAGAAGAGGACTTAGACATGTTATGGAACTGTAGGTACAGAGGGGGAAATGACAGGGAGAAGTAGAAAAGAGGTGCTGGATGAGGTAGGAGCAGGTGAGAAGTGGATGAGGGAGATACTAGAGAAAAAAACAATCGCATTTTAGTGATAACTTATATTGTGAACAGTTTTGCCATTTTGGTGTCTAATAAAGATTGATTGATAAATAAAGAATACCGGCCGCAAAAACTGAAATATGCGTTCATTGGTAGGAATATCCTTGCTCGTCTTCTCAAGGATCGTCATTATTTTCCAAACAACAGCTCTTGGAACCCAATGAACAGATGTAAAAATTCTGCTGTCTACTCACGATTATATGTAGACTACAAAAACACCTAGTTATTGTAATATTACAGAAATGCTGGACCATCCTGAAGATAACCTTGCAATCTCTTAACCGTTACCTACAGTTTCAAAGAGACTTCTTTCCTAGCAGTTTATTATCTGTTGCACATCCTGGAAATAAAAAAGTTATTAAATAGCAATTCCCAATTATGAACAGACAAGCATACAGGAACTGCTTATGCGTTTAATAACCGTGGACCAGTAGAACTAGACACATGTATTTTATAACAAGGTATTCATAACGGATATACGATAACGAAAACCCAGCGTACAGAATGTAAAAATGGTTAAAAATAATTAAAGTAGTACTAATTACTTAATTGATCAAGAAAATCGACTTTTCTTGCCTTCCATTCATTTGCAGACAGACCATAGGAGTTCTAAGGATTCATTAACTACGTTTCCACTGTAATGCTTATAGAGCTTTAACAAAGTGTATTAAGTGTATGAAGGATAGAGAGATGAAATATTAATATTCCATTATGCGAATTGTCCCAAAAGAAAAATCCCTTCGAGATTAAATTCGGCCAAGAATAATGCGATGAACTCTTCAGATGTACCAAAACCGAATACGTACTATATTTAATTAACTATATATTCGGTTAACCGTTATCATTTATAATATTTGCTTCATTTCAGACGGAACAAATTAATATTCGCTACGCCTAATAAATCACCGCTCGATATTTAGATTATCTCACTCATTTAAATTAATATCGCAATCTTATTGTCTCTCTCAGAGAAAGGGTTGGTAATTAAGTTAATGGCCTCGAAACAAGATTGCATTCGGTTAGCAGTTCAACTGGCTTACTGATAAAATTGTTTCTTTATCTTACAAAGTGGTGAATAATAGCCCTACTTTAAACACGGTGAATACATTTCTTATTTATGCTATATAAGGGCGCAAATTCTTCGGGATAATATGCTTTTGGGTTCTTGGTATTTATTCTCTTATTTCTGCCTGTTTTAGGAGTACATTTGCTAGCTATAAACGGTTTATCTACTTATGTACCGTTATGGTTTAAGATTACATAAATTACACATAAACCGTCTTCATAATGAAGTTGAAAGACACACCTTCCGGTCTCTATAATAACTTAAGATATTACCGGGATGGCTTTGAATAATGGTTACTTGGGGTGTCAGTAACCCTATTCTGAGAAATGACGGAAAAATTACTCATTGATACTTACAAATCTCATGCAGAAAACCCGAAGGCTCTGTGATATTTTCTTGCCGAGGTCTCTAGTTGTTCATAAAAGACGCCGAATGATCGAGTTAGTGAAACTAACCCCTTTATTGCTAAAAAAATGTGCTAAAAACTATATATCGTCGTTTTACAATATACGGGGTGTAGAACTGATAACGCGACAATAGGTCAAAATTGAAATGTGTCAATACTCAATCAACAATCTAACATCTAACATAAACTATAGACATAATTAAAGGAATATTAACTAAATTAAAATTTCACAGATAGCTTTCCTAAAGGTGAAAACGCTGAAAAAATAGAATTTTTTTTTTTTTTTTTTTTTGACAGGTGGGGAAATGCATTACGCACACTCCGGATAGAAGTCCGGAGTAGTGTGGGACTCTCCCATTATCTGGGTATACCCACTAAAACCCCACCTGAGGCTTCGGCATCTATGGCCATTACCTTTATACTTACACTAAGGTACTATAATATCACAGTTTCTGAACACACAACACAAGACAGGCGTGATTACATTTACTTATTTACTACACAAATATACATAAAGACAAAAATTTAAAAATATCACAGATGGTTTGCAATGCCAATTTGTTGGATGAACGCAAGAGTATTTTTACATTGCTCTTCATTTTTGAAGTTATTTTCCCATATCGGGTTTATATTAAATATCACACGTACATTCATATACTGCGGACAAATAGAAATAATGTGATGTGGTGTTAAATTAACACCACATTGTTCGCATAATGGCCGTTCTTCACCTGCCAACAAATACCCCTGAGTGAGAGCAGTATGCCCCAGACGGAGTCTGTACAGCCTGATCAAGTTCAAACGTCTAACGTCGATATAGAATAGCGGATCCAGACTAGGTTTGATCCTTTTCAAAGCCGTATCAGACTCCGACCACTGCTCACTCCACCGCTCATAGATTTTACTTTTCACGAGTCCACGCCGTGCAGTAGATGACATACTCGTGAAGTCAATATTCTCCAATTGGAGGTGGTTTAATACCTCTCTAGCCCTAACACCTAACGATCTACATCTGTATAGACGAGCAATGGTAGTCGCATCAGTAAGGGATCTAAAATTTGGATGTTTATCATCTAACCTTACTTTTATATAGTAGTTTGCAACAATCTGTTTCCGGCGAAGAGCTAGAGGGGGAATATTTGCCTCGACGTAGAGCGATGGAACTGGACTTGTTGGATATGCTCCCAAAGAATATCGAATAGCCAGGTTCTGAATCTTATCAAGTTCCCCAAGCAAAGCATTATTGCCACACGTAGAGTACGCTGCACATCCATAATCCATCCTTGATAGGATGAGGGCCTTATATATATCCAGTAGGGTCTTAGGGTGAGCTCCCCACCTATGATGAGCGAGAACTCTGATGATGTTCAGCGATTTTCTACATGTAGCAGTAACATTATTTAAATGCTTTGACCACCGTAATTCCCTGTCAAAGGTAAGCCCGAGAAACTTGACTTCCTGAACAACACTGATTACACGATCATTCATTAGTAGCACAGGATCATAGTGCGGTCTACGGAGTCGGCAAAAGTGGACAACCTTTGTCTTTTCCTCCGACAGCACAAACCCGACCGCATTGGCGTTACTACAGATTTTGTTTATGGCCACTTGTAGACTTCGAGTTATTGCACCGACAGTCTTACCAGAACAACAAACCATTAAATCATCAACATACAAACATTTATCAATCATCCCCTCAACACCTTTAGCTATTTCGTTTATGGCGATGCCAAACGGGGAACAGCTAAGTGTTGACCCCTGCGGCACACCATTTTCTAAAACATACTCTTTTGAGTGGATGTCACCGATTCTTACAACAAACTTTCTGTTCTCTAGAAAGGATTCTATAAATTTTGGTAAGTTCCCTCGAAGATTGTATTTATACATATTCTGCAATATTCCATATCTCCAAGTCATGTCGTAAGCGCCCTTTATATCAAAGAAAACCGCAACCAGGTGCTCACCACTGTCAAATGCACTCAGAATTCTATCGGTCAATTTGACCAAATGGTCAGCCGTTGCTCGTCCCTTCCGAAAACCCGTTTGATAAGGTACGTATATATTATTATCTTCAAGAAATGTTTGCAGCCGCACATTAACCATTTTCTCTAGCAGTTTTCCCAAGCAAGACGTTAAACTAATTGGGCGATAACTTTGTGCCAGCAACGGATCTTTTCCAGGTTTCGGTATAGGAATGACAACGGCCTGTTTCCATTCCGAGGGGTAAGTATGTTCATTCCAACAAATATTAAAGAAATCTAATACTTTGTTGCATTTCAGGAGTACAGTGATGAAACATCTGGTTGTGGATTTCGTCTTCTCCCGGTGAACATGACTTGGTGTTACGGATAGCGATATTCAACTCTTCTAAGGTAAACGGAGTATTATAATTTAAGTTTTCGTTAGTATCAAAAATAATAGGAATGGATTCTTTATGTTGTTTAGTGTGAAGAAATGTATCCGCATAATTTTTGGAGCTACTAACTTGGTAAAATTGGGTTGCTATGATATCCGATATATCCTCTGGTTTATTTGTGATTTGTCCCTCTGAATCTCGCAAGAAGGCCAGACTATTGCAACCAATTTTACCTGATACGGCTCCAACCTTTTTCCACACTTCCTTGCTAGTAGTGTCCGGTGTAATCGTGGACACGTATTGATTCCAGGAGCTCCTCTGTGCTTCTAGTATTTTTCGGCGACACTCCGAACGACGTTTCTTAAAAATTATTAAATTGTCCAACGTAGGATTACGTCTAAATCTATATAAGGCTTGATTTTTTAATGATATTTTTTCTTTTATTTCAGACGACCACCACGGAACCATTTTTGTTTTATTGCCAGGTTTGGATTTTGGAATACTGGCGTTCGCAGCATCTAATATAGCAGATGTAAGAGTTTTTAAACTTAAGCTATCTAGGGCTGGAGGGACGAACTTACTTGCAAAAAGTTCCCAATCTGCTTGTGGGATCTTAAATCTAGCCATTGATCTTATCGTGGGATTTTTGCCTCTAACAGAAATGATTATGGGAAAATGATCGCTGTGATGGAGATCAGTTTCCACCTCCCATTCAAAATTACAGTATATATTTGGAGACCATATAGAAAGATCAATTGCGTCGAATGTTCCGGATCTCACGTTGAAAAACGTGGCCGAACCGTTATTCAAGATACTTAAGTTATCGTTTTCTATGAGTTCCATTAACTCTTTGCCTCGGGCATCATTTGAGGTAGAGCCCCAAACAATGTTGTGGGAATTGAAATCTCCGACAAGAACAAAGGGTGTTGGGAGCTGATTTATAATTTGTCTAATTTGATCTACTTCATATGCTGTATTAGGAACGTAGATGTTACAAAGTGTAAAAGTTTTAACAATTTCAAGTTGTACTGCTACAGCTTGGTTAGTTGTATTTAATACAACCCTTTTATATGGTGTGCCTTTTCGAATGAGAAAAGCCACTCCTCCACAGGCTCTTTCAGGTGAGTAAAAATCTTTCCTTACCAGACTGAAATTTTTTATATTGTATTTTGATCTCGGTTTCAGGTGCGTCTCTTGAAGAGCAATACACAATGGTGTATACTTTTGAATTAAGAGTTTCAGTTCGTTGAAATTGTTAGATAGTCCCCGACAGTTCCATTGGATAATTTTTGTTGTATCCATTTTAAAAGTAAGTAGAAACAAACACAGTAGAATAATTTAACATGTAAATAAAATAAAAAATTACAGTGTATATGGGACTACATATTACAAACAATTAACAGTTTCACATGATAGTTGTTTGTAATAGTCCCATATACAGAATGTTTTGCGTCAAAGTTAAGTAATCCGTGTCATACAATTGTAAAATCGAAATAAAAATATCGAGTCAACCCGTACTTGTAATTTATCAATGTTTTAGGGGTTATTACTACATATTATATTATATTATATTATATTATATGTTCGGTTTTTTTAGTAGCGTGAAATTTTCTCTAACACCACCATTTAAATAGTTTATAATATTGCTCATATCGAACTTCTTAGGATGGCACTGGACAAATTAAAAAGCATCTGGGTACTCAACAGATTATTTTTTAAATACCTCCATTGTTTGGTGGCGCAAAGCACACACGTCGCACATGTGTTTTTAGGGGAGAAGATTACGGGCGAGAAAGGGACGTTATTGACGAGATGTGAATGTGATATCGATATGGAGATGTATGTAAGCTGTTCAGGCCCTAAGCTATTGAAGAAATGGATTTAATCTTTTATGATGTTCTAATTAAATGTCTCAATTAATTACCGCCCATTTATGCCTCATGGTACTGTAATTAAAGGTCTCGATGAAAGGAATGAATTACCAACCATACTCCTCCTCGACCATTTATCGTGATCGGTTATAATTCCTTATTTCAAGAGCGGATTGTCAGAGGAGGGTTCTCAAAAAGAGCGATTATAGAATGTCTGGAAGAAATAAGAATGAACTAAAAGCGAATACTTCGAAAACGGTTTGTAGAGTACTCACAAGGCAAACTGAATCATCTGGATGAGGCATGTCTATTGGTGAAGTATATCTTGAAAACGAAGTGTCGGAAGAGGGTACTCACACATGGCAAGTGGAACGTCTGGACGAGGCACCTTTACTGGTGATGTCCAAACTTTCAGTGCAAATATTTTGAAGAAGAGAATGGAACTGCTGTTTGTAACGGTAGTAAGACCTTATATTGGGCTGTAATGTTTTAGGTACTACCAGGTAGTGGATTCGTACTATTTAATGTAAACTGTACCAATAACCCAATAAAAAATAAAGCCATATAAAAGGTTTAAATTTACAATTACAGTGATTTTGTATATTGTTAACTTACCACACTTACCACACTACGTTTTAATTGGAAGAAATTCACATACCGATCTGTAATAATTGATTATCTCTGGTTCTGCATAAGTACCTATTCAAAACATGTACTGGGTGAATATTTCAAAACCGAACATAGGCAATTAACATGGGAAAAACGTTTTTTTGCCGATCGAAGGGTTTATAATTAAGATTGTTTTTCTTATCTAATGATATAAGAATTAGTTCATTTGTATTTCTCATTATTTTATCAAAAATCCAATTACCAAAATCATGTTTAGCTTTTGACACAGGCGGAATGGGCGCTCACTAAAATGCGTTGTGTATTATAAATACTTTGTCCTCATTGAACTGCATTTTACGAATCAATTAATGCCAGGTTGTCACTTTGCTACTTGCTAAGTGGATTTATTGCCTAATTTTGGATAAAATAAAGAGAAATACACATCAAAATGAACTAATTCGCATATAGATGATAAAAAAATCTGCTTTCGATTGGTGTCAATATAAACCCTTCGAGTTATCATGGGTATCTACAAAAAACCTTTTTCCCATGTTAATTCCCTATGTACGATTTTGAAATATTCACCCGGTATATGTATATACTTACATTTTATTAAATACTCGATTAAATATTAATTGACTTTGTCTTGAATCTAGGCAGAAACATTGACAGCTTAATTAAGAAAATTTAAAAATGTTGTAGAACTGTAACTTAATTGATTGGGCTTAACTTTAATTTAGATGTGCGGAAAATTTGAATATCATGGCATTTATTAATTTATACATTGAAATCCTTACAGCTCCTTATTCCTTTTAGGTCATGTGCAGTTTGCAGTTTCATTGCTCCAAATTTTTGAAAACTTCCTCCTCCGACCTCGAGCATTTTTCAGTTAACGTTTGTGAAGTTTTCCACCCTCGGGGTATGATTAAGCTATTATAATTATATTGTAAATATCAATGTCTAACAGATAAACCTAGCTTAAATACAAAAATCACAACCAAAACATTATCTCGCTATATTGTTAAGTTAGGAAAAATTGTAAATCGATGTAGATAATTAAAACAACGATGCAAGATAAAAAAAAACGAACTAAAATCAAATCAACTAAATTTCAAGCTTTCACGATAGAATAATCGCCACAATAAATAAATGTTTTTGAGAGGCGCTGAAACGTACCAAAGATAAATTTAAATTAGTGTGGCGTCATATTGGGTAGCCATTAATCAGAGCCACTTGATCCGCTTTGCGATACAATGCAATGAGGTAACGCGATTATATAAGCAGATCGCTGTGTTCGCATAGGGATAAATCTGTTGTCCTCTCTATGGTTGCTAATACGTGATCCATCTACCTCGGTCTTGATCCTCGCGCTTTCATTACGAACAACCCTTATTAACATCGCATCGCGCATATACTGGCGAAACGTTTTAATGAACCCAAAACGTACATAAATCCTAAAAATATTCATTCAATGTTGTCCCAACAGACGTCGGTTCTGTATAATAGTGTCGCTTTTTTCACGAAGACAACAGAGTTCCACTACAAATGGCAGGAAACCGGAACTAAGAAATTCTTTTCAGCGAATATTTTTACATTTTAACTGTGTTCTATTTCACTTTCGGATTGTCCAGAACAAACCGTAATTTTCCCGTCTTTTGCATTTTTAAACCCGCTCAGTTTACAATCAAAGAAATTCGAAATAATTATGGAAGTAAAATAAAATATGGGAAAAGCAGAAGTTGAAAACCATCAAAGATTCTTATTTTGCATACGTCATCCGAAGATGGCGCCCGATTTGCATAGCGCGACGGTTTATGCTAATGCCTCTGATTTATAGTTATTTTTATTTGATTCCCGGAATTATTATATGGACTGTATCCGTATGGATGAAAATCATATTTTATGCGCTAAGAAGAAGCTTTCTGCGGCTAAAATCGATTCGAGAGTGAGAATTATTTCTGTGGTTTTGCTTTTATGATACTTTTATATGTTTATGTTTATCTTGGATGAGTATTTTCTGTCTGCTTTCGTTATAGTTTCAAAATACGTTTCCGTGTTTATTGCAGAGCCATATAAGAAAATGTAGCTGTAATCATTTATTTTCCGGAAAAGTTGGAGGCATCCACCTCCATATACCAGCGCGTTCTTTCTATAGAATTTTAATGTCTTAATTTTGCTGATAGAAAACAAACTTTACAAATGGCAGAGTTTTTAAACTAAAGTCAATAACATGCGAACGATGCTTTTCGACGGGCCAAAATTTTAATCAGCCCACACCTTAAATTTAGGACCAAATTCTCGACGCAATCCGGTTGACTTCGTCATTATAGTGTATAGTGTAGAATGACGAAGTATTACTTATCGGAATATTCATCATAATCGAATGAACAAAAAAACTGATTGATTGATTTTTTTCAGAAATCTTAAATAATGGTCTTCTTCTACAGATCCCTCTGTAAAAAAATCGAATTACTGCTCTTATGACTTTTTTTCATAAAGCAAAGCAAGAGAAATGGATTTTATTATTCCTTTACAGTATCAGGCATAATATACAGGCGTGTTCCTCACAACTACGTTTAAAGGAATTTTACAAATTTCGCGAAATTCCGAGTTACACTTACACTTACAATTCAGAACTTGTACTTTTAAGTTAGGGGTTGCAAATTGTCAAATCAGAGTTGCAATTCGTAATTCGAAAGTTTTATTGGACTGGAAAGTAAACTATAAAAAATTAAAAATAGGTTTCTTTGGCGTACACCTCATGTTTAGACTATGCGATCTGACTTTACTAGAAGAATCTTTGGTTAAAATTTCAAAAAAATATGTCTGCAAATAAACAAGTTGATATTAAGCAGTGTGCGCATGCGCAAATTAATCTTTAAAGATGTTTTTTTTTGCTCAGGTGCCAGATTTTTAAGCTATCGAATTCCAAAAGAACGAACTAAATAGCATGAAAACTGTAGAAGTCGGACAATCGAACGGACGAAAAGACGGACAAGTTATCTATTAGCTAATTTATAATTATTTATACAAGTAAGTAACAGTCATATCGGTGCAATTACACAATTACACCGATATCACGGTAACTTACCTGTATAAATAATTATAAATTAGCTAATATAT